TTCCTGGTTGTTATCGCAATTTCCCAAGACAAACCTGTCTCAGATTACATATATACTTGCCCCTTTATGCATAATGTCATTAAGTGTAACATTGTATCCGAATAATTAGGTAATAGAAAAGAAGAGACAAAGGTCAATCCTAAAACAAATAACTTGTTATTGTGTAATCGATTGATAGAACGAGATAAAAACGCAGATCAGACTAGTTAAATATGGGTGTCACGATCGCAATTGTATTTAACGTTATTCTAATTGCATATGTTTGTCTTAAAATGACAAACACAATGCAGTCTTGCATACTGCCTTAATATTATTCCTGACGTCACAATAGGTGATTACATTATCGTTTTGCAAATATATCACAAAGGAGAACTCAATTCCTGATGGTGGTGGGGGAGTGTAATTTTGTTTACATAATTGATATTGCAATGTCGTCAATAAAAATAGACAATGAGCCTATGTCGCTTGTTTCGGACAATAGGACTGAACTCAGACTATGGAAATACTTTTATTCATACAAATTCCTCAGGTAAGGGACGAGTCAATATTTGTTGTGACTGGTTCAATATAGCTCATTGTACTGTAGTAAACAGCGTTTGTTTTCAATATCATACCAGCATAAACATTGAAAAAATACCGTTCAATCCTTATATTTACATGGTAGATATTTAGTTATTATTGACCTGAATATATATATATTTCCTTATGATTTTAATATTGAAGTTTCTGTGTCATCAGCTCAATTAAGATTTTTAGAATATCCTGATTTGTTCAGCTCCAGTCACACTCTCACGGTAGTGGCCACGGTATACCCCGAATGTCCCGGTTCTATATACCGTGGCCATCCCTCCAATTTTGGTCTGTAAACAGTAGTCTACGGTGTTGCTATGATTTTACTACAAATCAGTTGTCTCAGATTAATCGAGACGAGAAGAGGAGCTTCAAAATGACGCTGTTCGAAGTGCGTTCATAGCTCTATAAAGGTAATTTCTCCTACTAATGCTTATAAAGGAACTCGCAGTGGAAATATACAAATATGCTTACATCCTCATGTAAATAATCAACGAAAACATATTATGCATGACACGTTCATCATCTGATACAATCCACCTCTACATGTATTTTAAACGTTTATTGTGTGTGATGATGGAAGTATATGATGCGTATGAAAAAAGTGAAAAGGGAGAGCAAATATATATTTACAATTACTGCATGGTCATGAATATAGTGGTCAAACGAAGCATCAGAGGTCACTAGTTTTACTAAGTAATTTAACAGTGTTTGTTGATTTTTCTTTTTCTATTTTAATGTTGTCAATGCATGCACTTGTGAAATTATTTGGAAAAGTGTTCAATGCCGTGAATATTTTTTATGAAATAAATGTTTGTCCCGTTGTTGTGTAAGTGGAAAAGTGCGGGTAGCCTCATGACGATTTGTCACCATCTTCCCGGTAATATATATGACCTGGTCCCTTATAATAAATTTAAGATGCCATCAAAGATTTATTCATTTAGATATTGGCTGGTGTACAACTAACTTCTGATAATGAATAATTACTTCTAAGGTAGTTCATCAGTTTCAACTAAGACATAATCGTATTCCTTTCAAAGTTATTTCAAAGTGAGATAGGAAATGCATCACTCTATTTTTGTGCCATTTGCCACTACTTTTATTTCTAACTGAACTGCCTCGTTCCGAAATCGTCACATTTGGACATTTTAAATGGACTACGAATACAGAGAAAGCAGCAAAAACATGCTTGGCAGTCCTGACACTATGTAAAATCAATAACTTATACGAGGATATTAGTTGTCTGTTACAGATTGTTATAAATATTATCTGAAAAACGGTGAAATGTTCACTAAACATAAAGACTAGACAATATTTTGAAATCGCCTTGGGTCAAATTTGTGCTGAAGAATTTGGCATCGCAACTCATGTAGAATTAGTTTTACAAACACAAAGACATGGTTTCAAATAAACTTAGATAGTTTTGTGCCAGATAATTGTGAACATTTTGAAAGGTACATTGTAGAAACGAGTTATGACAATGACTTGCTTAAAGTTCCAAAATCACATTAGAAAACAATGCGAGATGACATACGCAGAACATTATCAAAACTCAGCGTTCAGTCTAGAACGTAAGGTCGTGCTAATGGGCAGTAAGTTGTGACAACAAAGGTCGATTGACAGCGTAAATTTAAAATTCGAGTTGCTTATAGTTCAGTTCATTCAAAGACTAATAGCGAATCTACACTGATGTGGTCCGATACTGAACAAGGGGAATTCAAATGGTTGATAAGTGCAGTTGAAATAGGAGCGGTACAAATAGTTTGCAATAATTGATGCTCAGCTATTGACAGATGTGTTAACAATAGGAGGGGTGGACTTTTAAACGAGAAATAGACTAAAATAATTTGGTACAAATCTGTAGGATAGTCATAATGTTCTCCAATGGCTGAGAAATGTGTTTTACAACCTTAGTGTCTTTTAGACAGTGACTAACTGATGACTATGCTAATTCGTCCCGACAATGTAACGACTGTTTCCTATCACAACAACTTCAGCGGTCCATGCAAAGATCTCATCGACATCGTAACGGCAATTTGGGCGGTTGGAATAAACAATATCGTGTACATTAGCTGTTCACAAGAGCTGGCAAGAAACAATTCTAGAGCCGACTTTCTCAGTCGACTAAACGACAAATGCGAGTGACGAATGAATCTATAATTGTTCGATTCTTGAACGCAATGTGGGGACAACACACAATTGACCGATTTGCTTAGTTTTGACCACAAAGCTTAAAACAAAAAGATCAGCAACCTGTATCAACATCTGTTAGTATCGGGCATCAACGTGTTGGTATAGCAGGATAAGGATGTTCAAAACCATTATGTGAGCTCTACATTCTGACTTATTCCACAAATAATCGCGGTCATTCGAACAAAGAACGCCGACAATCATCCAGCATCGCCCCGGCGTGGAAAGCCAACAGGAAGTACCACAAACTACCGGAGGGATTGACAAGCCCTTCATTTCGCATACGTAACATCAAGCGTTCGGTGCTGAGTACGTGGGTGCCTGCAGAGCCACTTCAAAATCGTAAACTAAATCGGTTTCACTGTTTTGACACTGTAGTTGACTTTCCACCGTTGTAGTCCATTTTCGCCAGAATATTGCTCTTAACTCGGACAAACCACGGTTAAAGCTGAACTGCACTATTTGTCAAGTGAGACTTGTCAAAGATAACAAAAATAAAATTCCTAAAACAAAAACAAAAACGAATTACTTTTTATTTCCGTACGTGCCTAATTTACATAACTTTAAGCATGTGCAGACACGTCGGATGTAATGGCGATGTCCATGGTACAGAGTGGTCGCCCAAGCAGGCAGACAGAATCGACAGGAAAATGGACAATAATGGGAAAGTGAACAACGATCAAGCCTTAGACCAATGAGGTGCGCTTAAGGAGGACAAAATAGTTTTGTCTACCACTACAAGGCTTCCACTTGACAAGCTAGAACTGATCAATCGGCGGCTAAAAGGAACTGCACGGGTTTATTGGTAAACATTACCTCTGACCCAGTCGAGGATATAGTCACTATTCGTTGGATTCTGCTTTCGTAACGTCTCGTGAATTCGCGAATGCATTATGCTAATGTAAATATGACTTCAATCTGATGAGATTGGTAGTTGCCGGGAAAAAAAATTCACACGATTACACTTGACGTAAATATAGGTAATCAAAATTTAGAATCGTCTCAAACCAGTATATTTATAGTATTCGTGGAATTTGATGACTGCAATTGACAGATTGCGACACGGTAACTGTAATGTATAACATATCTCACTGTAAGGCATTCATTAATGAATAAGAAAAGGGAAATTCTTATGTTTTTTTTTTATATTCGGGTAGACATTCCGTTGTGATATACGTTTATACAAAGCAATCTTGGATAAGGGTTTACGTCGTATTGCAGCAATGTATTCACCAACAGTGGAGTAAATGGAATCAATAAATTATACATATATTATCAGAGTTTTGATTTGCTCAGGCCTGACACTACCAACATCATAAGAAACCCAATGAACGCCTTCATTACCACGAAAGTTTTTAACCCCTACAAAGACAGATGATCATATGAGTGCATGATTGTGATGCAATTTTGAACATTATGTGTCTTGGTAGAATTTGTTGTTGATTTTTTCCAGCAAAGTTAAAGTATTTGTACGGATTCAAATTATATAAATCTTTCGCTCGACTTGATTTTGTTTTTAAGGGAATCTTATTGTAAAAGAGAGTTTATTAGGACTGGTTACAAAAACCTTGCTTAGTTATCAATTTGCTTCTAACATTTATCGACGGTATGTGTTCTTTAAAAAACAAATAATCTATTGATCACGTCGACAATTGCATAAATGTTTACTTCTCTCCTGTTTTATTTTATTTCGGTGTTGGTTTTTAATTCATATGTATATAAGCACTATAACATGTACAAGTGTCACAGAGAACCTTTAAATAGACAGGTTTCCGGGTATCTGTTGTTAAATGATAGGTGACGAGGGACTTACTTTCGATTAAAAATCCTGTTTTAAACCATCACATAGCAGACAAAATAAATATGATTTCCCTACGATGTTTTGTTGCAGTTCGATGTATGTATGATTGAAAACAGGATTTTTAAGGAAAGTAAGTCCCTCTTCACCTGTCATTTAACAACAGAGACCCGGACAACTTGTAATCGACAGGTTTCCGGGTCTAATTTGAAAAATGACAGGTGAAGGGGGGCTAATTTTTCGTTAATTTAAAACATCTCATTTCTGACAAAATTAATGTGATTTTAAATATGTGTTTGACCCAATGTCACATCAGTTACATTTTTTAATCTGAATAATATGATTTTCCTCCGATATGTTGTTGCAGTTTGATGTCTTGTCAGAAGCAGTACGATATGGGGAATCTGATATAGTGAAGTTATTGTTAGAGAAAGGAGCTGACCCTAACAAGGTGAGTACTATTACATTTTCAATTAAAAAATGTTATTAGCTACCATAAAATTTGCATGTTTCTAGTTTCTATTTTAAACTCAACGTCCACCATATTATAAGTCACATGCGACAATCTTTCTATGAATATGAGCTTGACCGAATATCACATCGGTTATTTGTTTTAATTTGATTAATATGATTTTCCTTCGATATGTTGTTGCAGTTTGATGTCTTGTCAGAAGCAGTACGACGTGGGGAATCTACTATAGTGAAGTTATTGTTAGAGATACTAATGTGGTTATGCAAAGGAGACTCAAAGAAAAGTGAAAGTAAATGAGGTTTATTTTGAGCAAGCACATATCCCTGTTTATAAATATAAAAAATACATGATGTTGCTGATTTTTTCTTCTATGTTTTAATTTAATCATACATGTTAAAAATGAAGTTCTTCCTCTTGTATGCATATACGCAAATGTATACGTAATTGTTAATTGTTTATTTAATGGTTCCATTAAGACATTGATGTAGTCACATTGTGCTTCTGAACCAAACCTCTAGATATTTTTAAAACATCAACAGCAAAAGATGACAGTTGTTTATCGGTATCGATATGATTTGATATGTTCATACTTATATTGAACTTGGTACTGATTAAGTTATTTACAGTAAATTTTATCTCACTGTGTCGCACTCAAATCACTATAACAGACATGCCGGTTTAGTTTTTTTTGATTGACAGCTATAGCAGAACTACAACATTTATAGGTGTGAAAAAGGTCCTTTTAACCAATATGTTTCGGATCTCTAGTGTTAAGTTCAAGGTGAGGATGGGCGACACATGCGAATACATTCATATTGCAAGCGGACGAAATTATATCACTGCATACCATAACGGATTGTTTCATTTACAAAGTATAATAATAAATGATCATCAGCAGTATTACATTGTAAGAGTGGCATTTAATAGAGTACTCAGGGTGAAATTTAGAGTGTATAGCAACGTAAAGACTATATGCCCTGCAGGTCAAGAGTATCATCAGGAGGTGTCTCCCCTTCACCTTACCAATGGTGTATGACAAATAGTTATGTATATAGTAACTTCTCTCTACTAATATTTGTATATGTAGTTTGTGTTATAGTCTGTTTATGAACATATTCCTATTGTGCTTTCATGAATATGACATTTGGAATTGAAATGTTACGGCATCACATGATGATACCAATCAGATTCTTTCTTGATTTGTGATACGAAATAATTTGAAATACGTATATGATTTTATTTCAATGTCACGGAGGTGTACATGTATAAGGAGAACAGTAAAATATGTTTCAATATGTATGTTCCATGAACTGTTCAGTAAGTACTTAGAGGTTATCATCTGACCATTTCCATACCCTACCTCGTATCAGTACAAGTCTACTCGGTCTTATACGGAGTAGGATTTAGAAATAGTAATATGTCACCCTTTTGACATGTACTACTCTACAACATCAAAATGAAAAGCAATAACATAAAAACACAGAAAATTTGCATTTCATAATAACTATATATATTCACATTCAACCATTAATTAAACACAATGCACTAAATCACAAATGTAGATGGAAAAACACAGAGTGTACACTACCAGTTTGAGGTGTATTTTTTCTGAAAGGTGTGGAGCATCTTGCGCATACCGGGCGGGTATGGCGTGGGTCAGGCTGATATAGCGCGTGCCGTGCGGATATGAGTTGGTCCGGGATATGGCCTATAACACGGACAAGTATATGATAAGGTTAATGGTCTTGCTTGAACAAATTTCTATGCTGTACGAATCAAATAACTTCCCATTTTGATGGCAGGCTAGTCATGTCGGGGTCGATTTCCAGTTTTCATTACATCGTATGGTATCGTTTCTGAGTTGCCCAATACCTTATGAGCTGTTATATTTTATGATTGTTGTTTTAGACATTCTTTAAGAATATATATCTTTCGGGAATTTGCCTTATCATTTCTGATTTTTTCCTGAGTTGACCCTCCATTTCATCCTTTACAAATAACTGATTTAATCATATTGCTTTTATGTTTGGTTCTAGTATAATTCCCTAAGTGTTGCTTTATCCTGTATCCACGAGAATATAGTGGATATGTTGCTGGAGAAAGGAGCTGACCCTAATACGGTAAGAAATTGACATAGGTTATATTATGTTATTGCTAATATTTTTAATAACTAACTGTTTCAAAAGTTTATCAATATGATTCAATATCTAGTACGGCTTCCTAATCAGTTCACTGTAGTGTAAAACATTACACTATTCTGACATTTGCACGTGATGCTTTATCTTGTTACT